CATCCATTTAAAAGTAGTTTTCTTGGACTTATCAATGCAAAAAAGATTTACTAAAAATGAATAAAATCCCATGTTTAAGAAAAATGTAAAATTTGCAAATATAAAAAAATATATATATTCATTTATTAAATGAATATCTTTCAAAAGAGGAAACTATTTATATGTGGCACGTGTTATATAATTTTGTATATATATATATATATATATATATATATATATATGTCAACTGTTTTCTGTGTTCACATCAGAAGAAACTGGCATGGCACTACGTTGGCAGTGGGGAGTACCGCAGAGTGATTGGCATTGGCAATCTTTGTACATATAGTGGACACTTTAAGTGTCAGTCTATATGTTATTTTCTCATCCTATATTTTGTATGTTAAAAAAACATACATTTAATAGCTAAACTTTATGTATTTATAAATATATCTGCACAAATATACACAATTTTACTATTTGCTGCCTAAGTATCTCATTCTATTATAGATATAGAGATTTTAATTGCTCTTTCTTCAATGCATTATTTTTATACATACATATATGGTTATACATATACATATACATACATATATGGTTATACATATACATATACATACATATATGGTTATCCACAGACAGTTTTGCTGTATCACAGCTCGTCAATGTGGTTAGACATCTGATTAAAAGTTTATTGCTTACTCAATATTCTATTAGTCTGTGGAAATTCCATGGGTACCACTAGTGAATATTAATGTGCATCACAAAGATGAGTATTGGTCCTTGGGTTTGGTTAAAATTCTCCTAAGTCAAAATTATTGAGATTGTAAAAAGGAGGTTAACTGATTTTGATAAACACATAATAGCATGGAAAACTGGCAGTGCCTCAGTCATGGTAAAGTTTGGTAAAAGAAATCTTACCTGAGTATCTAGCTATTTCTTGAGTTTTGTACAAAAAGAGATTGTAAAGTGACCAGTATGGGAAGGATATTGTCAAAGAATCTGAAGAGTCAGCAGAAGATAGTGAAAGTGAAGAAAGGGGGAAATGGAAGAAGATAAAGCTATTGTTACATCCAATGAAATTTCAAGTGAAAATGAAGATGAAGCAAACAAAGAATTAATAAGTCCCTTTCCTAATATCTTGCTTCTAGAACTACAAAAAATATTAGTGTTCCATTACTTCAAGACAGCTTCTATGCTATAATAAATAAAGTTACAAGAATCTGTCAAATTTTTCGGAAATCTCCACTAAGAAATGAGAAGCTCCAAGATTTTGTAAAAGATCAGTTGAATGGTCTTAAGTTAATCCTAGACTGCAAGACAAGATGGAATAGTCTTTTAAGCATCATAGAAAGATTTCTTAAGCTGAAACAATGCATTCCCAAAGCATTGAGAGTAATTTGTTCCACTGAGACAATCACATCAAAAGAGCAGGAAATTTTGAAAGACATCAGTAATATGTTTTGTCCCTTTGAGATAGCTCTGAAAGGCCCATGTTCAAGAGATGCAACACTTCTGACTACTGAAGTTTCCTTCAAGTTCATTATAAAGAAACTTTCAGAGAATACGTCACTGGCAATTTCATTAAAACAAAACTTGATTAATTACTATTCCTCAAGAAGACAAACAGATATTGTAGGTTTACTTAAATATAGTCTGTTGAATTCATGATAAAAAATCAAAGATGATGAGCTTTTTCATTCCTTTAAAATATGTAAAAATGAAGAAAAACTGCAAATAAAATTTCTCTGAAAATAGTGTAACAGATGGATTCTTGATCAAAAAAAACAAAGTTTAAGCCAATTTAAAATCTGGCTCCTTAAAGATTACAACTGGAATAGAAAATATTTAATTGAAAAGGATAAATAAATGATGAAACATTGCTTTTACAGAATATTTGCAATAGAATTAGAGATTATTCCATTGATTAAAAAAACCTTCAGCAATTTTTTATGTCAACTTTAGAATTTAAGAGCTTTGAATTATCTTTAAAAAGAACAGAAAATATAGACTAGGTCTATAATGCATTACTTTCAATTAAGCCTACAAGTGTAGAAACTGAAATGGTGTTTTCACCAGCAGAGTTGTACTTCACAAAATTGAGATCAAATCTTTTCGAAAATTCACTGTCTTTGCTTTCTTAAGTCTGTATTTCAAAATTAAAAATAATCTGGTTAGTTTGCTTTTCTCTAAAATAGTCTGTTATTTCTCTTGTATTAGTAAAGTCTTGATTTTTTTTCAAGAAATCTCTATTTTCATTTACAGATATATTGAATTAAGAATATATTGCTTAATGAATATTTTCTCACCATTATAAAATTATTTTTTGTAAAGTTTTTCACTAAAAATTTATTGTCATGAACTGAAAAACTCATTTTTTGAAATTAGTTCTTCTATGATTTATTTTTGTTTGAAAAAGCTTTATTATCATTAATGATATAGCTTACTGAATTGAAATAATTATTGATTTTTAAGTTGTTTCTTATATCATTGAAGCTTACTATAGAGGACAAATATGACTAAATTTTTAAGCAATAAAATAGATCACTTTCAAATTTAAAAAAAATCTTTTTTAACATTGAATCCATGAAATAAATGAATAATTTTGTTAATACCAGTATCAATATTGGTATTAACAAAATTATTGATACTAATATGAGTACTGGAAAGTTTGATATTATAACATCAAAAAAAAAATGGTAGATAAATAAAAATCTTATCATTTAGGAAAATTACTGCACATGAGCTTGAACATATAATAGGCTGTGTGAAAGATAGTTATTCTCAACACTGTAAATTGCTACAAAACCATAACATTTAAACTCTAGTCATATACTTAAATAGCCTCATTAGATCAAAACTTTTATATGGATGTCATGCATGACACCAAACCTGTTCAGAAATATCTAAACTGTCAGCTGTATACAATCTGCTTTCTAAGATCAATAGTTAAAAATGGTTTTGAGCATGTGAAGCCTGTGGATCTTGGTGAAGACCAGCTTTCTTCGAATATTGTGGACTGGTACTATAGAATCACAAAACAAGAAGTGTACCAGATAACAGAAATCACATCACTTGAGGACTTTCATCAACAGCAACAACTAAAATGGATAGCACATGTAACTCAGAGTAAATAATGTTATAATCAAGATGATGATATTCCACTGATTTCAAAAAATAAGTTAGGAAGGACTTACCAAAAAGAGCAATAACAGGTATTTGAAGATTGGACTTGAACCTATTTTTTACTGAAAAATTATTTTCAGAAAAAGATTTTATAAATTTCAACTGACAGTAGTACTGGCAGCTCAGTCAACAAATGTTTCCTTATAAGAAAACAAATTATATCAGGATGATATTTAATTTTCCAATCAATACATGTGGTGAATGCGCATCAGTACAGATGCAAAAGAGATTGCGTGTGGACATGTTTGTCAACACCAGATGCATCCAGATATTCCCCATTAGCAGCGGGACAGCTTGGCATGTAATCTAGATATGAATGTCTCTCTGTAACTGGTCAAGATCCGGTTGTACATTTTTTGGATGTTTTTAATAAAAATCAACAAGAAAACCAGCAATCAGCAAAACATGTTGTCTTGTGAAGTCAGTCCCATGGGCATTTTATTTCCTCAAGTTGCTGTGGTTTCCAAGGCAGCATTATTCTTGTCACCTCCTGTCTCTGCCAATAACCCCCCCCCCACCGTAGTTGCTGGGAGAGCTATTTACATTTTAAATTACTTTTTAAATCATTGAACCATATTTAACTGAACTAATTCTTCTAAAAGCATTGGATTATATTTTTATTTTACTAATACTATGTCCCTTCAGACATAGGTGATCATAGCTCTTCACAAATTTCTTTATTATCTGTGAATCGCCGACTTCAGGGAAATATAATAGAGTGGTTTCATGTTATCTTCTCTACAGTTTTGAAATCAAGAGTTGTCTTCTGAGATTGGCTACTATAGAAGGAGGAAGAAGAGATGGATTTTTATGCATTATCCAAGGGCATTTGTGTAAAAGCGAATATTACTCCTTTTCTCTCATTACTCACTTTTAATAATTTTTTGTATGATAGTTTGACTTACACTTCCCATTAGGTTATTGGAAATGAGCCTGAGAAATTGTAAGAAAAAGATATAGTTCAATTTATGTAAGATTTTTTTTTCTTTTTGCATTTATCTCAATTTCCAGAATTGTTAAAATTTTTAATTTCAAATTTCATAATTATCATGATGGTTAATTATCCTCCCTATAATTTGAAGTGTTTTTTAATACCTAACATTAAATTAAGTTTAAAACGAAAAGAAATTATTTTTTACGTCTGTTGCTAAAAATTCGACCCCATCATTTCTTTTAATGGTCAGTTTTAGGTGCGCTTGTTTTTATTAAATGATCACTTTAGTCAATTAATATTTTTCTCTGAGAGCGAACTTAAGAGTGAATTATGAAGTTTAAAGAAATGCAGTAGAGACACACAACATTCAGATGAAATATCAAGTGATTTTTTTTTTAGTGACCTAAAAATCATTTTTCTACATTTTTTGGAATATAATAAAGAAAAGGTCGGTTATATTATTATTCGGGATAGTTTACTTTTCCGTGAATAATAACAAATAATCGATCGACTCTCAAAAATTCTTTGGATCTTTTAAGGGTTTCTTAGTTTATTGAATCATGGCATTGTTAATTCATTGTCTATGATCTATTTTAAAGAAAAAGGTTTAACCTAAAATTAACTTGTTTTTCTCATCTTTCTGTTTTAAAGTGAACTCACTGACATTCAATTTAATTAAGGATAATTTTTAAATGTCAATTATTTTCAAGAAGGAAATAAAATATTTCGGAAGAAAACCATACACACAAATTCAATTCTGATTTATTCCATTAACATATAAACGAAAGACCAATATTACTATTCATAGTGCATATTATTACTAATAACAATACATAAAGCATTACGTTTTTCTTCCTGATTTCTGTTGATAAATTGGGTGTAAAATGTAATAAAACAACATTACCTCGTAGACCGCCATTTTGATTATGTTTGTATGCAGCAGAAAATGAATCAATTTAAACAAGTATTTCACAGGCACTGGAATGAATCTGCCGACTTTTGAAGATAACTGTTTCTTGATTTTAGTTTAAAATGGTCGTCCAATGATTTGTCGATGCATCTAGTTTGAAAATTTATTTTTTTTAATTAAGAAATGAAATTAGAACGCCAGAAAAAAACCAAAAAAAACAAGGAAATACTTTAAAATATATATTATTCATGCACATTTTAATTAAAAAAAATATTTATCAGGTTAACCGAAATTTTCGTTTTATTTTTTGTTGTTGGGCGATATTAAACTACATTTACAAAAAAAAGAAAAAATAGAGAAAAGCGCGCTTTTGAATATTTTTGTGTGACAGCTGTCATATCAGGGTCAAATTTTCTGTCAAAATTAGTGTATTTTTTGTTTATTGATTCTAAGATTGAGAAGAAAATAATTTTTGTTATATTAGGCTTTTAATAAAAGTAAAAAATAAAATTAAAAAAAAATGTGCAGTCTACTGTGAATTATTATACGTGTCAAAAAGTGGTTTAGATTTAGGCTTATCATGTATCCCAGATTGGCTAACACCATCCCACTAAGATAAACTATCACTCAATTAGTATTTTCATGTGTGGGTGTATGTGTGTGTTAACCCAGCAGTTTAAAAGTTTGGAGGGGGGGTAGATATGATACAAGATGATTTATTATACAAGAAAACTAAGCTCATAATGAAAACTATCCTAGTATGAGGCTTACAAAAAAATATACGCATAACTAGGAGTACTAAGCCTAGTTATGCGTATATTTTTTTTGCTGAACAATGCTCCACAGTCAAGTAGACTAATTGAAGTTGATAGCAATCAAATCAAGATATTACATGAGAATAATATATATATATATATATATATATATATATACAGTGCTGTTCGATAAAAGTGACTCACCTGATTTTTTTTACTAAATGTTCTCTTCTCTGATGAAATGAAAGTTGAGCTAAATTCAAAGGATAAGCGATCTAAAATCCAAAGAAGAAGCTTTGAAAGCTCTTTGAATTTAGCAGTAAGTACTGTCAAAAATCTGTTCAATATAATGTTCTGGGGATGCTTTTCTTTTCATGGAACTGGTTTCTTGAAACCTATTGTAAAGACTCTCAGGAGTGAGCAGTACAAGAGAATTTTAGAGTCTTGTCTGCTCCCTTCTGCTGAAAGGGTGCAAATCGACCCCACTAAGCCCATTTTTATGCAGGATAATGGTCCTTGTCACAAATCAAAATTGATGAAGGAATACTTTGATGAGAAGCAGGTGAGTGTTATGACATGGTTACCCCAATCTCCTGACCTCAACCCCATAGAAAACTTATGGAGCATTATAAAGTACAGGCTCTTGAAAAAGAAGTTGAGCAATATAGAGGATTTGATTGTGAATTTCATATCCAAATGGAATTCAATTCTTGGAGATGAGATTTGCCAGAACCTAATCAAATCAATGCCAAAAAGGGTTGAAAAGGTTATTCAAAATAAAGGAGGACCCATAGATTATTAAATATTTCAAACTATATTACCTATTATAAATAGATTATACCTCTATTATTCTTTATTTAAAACTGTTCGGTTATGTTTCTATTGATTACTGGTTGCAGGAAATAAGTGAGTCACTTTTTTTGCACAGAGTTTTTCCCTAAATCTCATTTATATCCCAAATTATAATTATCAAATTTTACTCACCTTAGGGTGAGTAAAATTTTTTACGAGGTGATCATGAAGAGGTCTTTATATTAGTAACATTAAAAATTAGTTTGACTCCAAAAACAATAGGCAAAAAAATTTTTAGGTAAAAAAATCAGGTCAGTCACTTTTATCGAACAGCACTATATATATATATATATATCAGAAATACTCCATTTTGGATCTGAACTGATATTGTAAATATAGCACATGGCAGTAGGAGTATTTTCAGGAGCAATACAAGGAACTGGAGCAATACATTTTTTCAACATCTTTAGTGATGGCATGAATATACAAGTTCTATTTGAGGTTTGGGGTGAAGTTGAGTCCCAGTAGGCATTCAAGGCATTGAGGGTATGACTGCTCATCAGAATTGGAGCAAATTTAGGGTCTGCCTGGTAGTGATGAAACATTACTAGCTTTGTTTTGGAGGTATTGAATGATACAAGCTAATCTTTCTGCCATTGAGCTATGAGAGCTATGTTGGGGGAGAGATCAGCTGTCTGATCATCCAGATATTTGGAGATAAACTCATACACTGTTGGACCATCTTCATATATGTTTACTAAAGATCTGTAAATGCTTTTAGGCAGACTGTTAATATAAAGCAGTTCTAGAGAAGCAAAAAAAAAGGTAGGTAAGAAAAGAAAATGAGGATAGGACAAGAGGACATCAGTATTGATCTCATGTGCCTCAGATGACTGGTAATTAACAACAACTTTCATAGACCTACCTAATAGGAAAGAAAGTTTCCCAGAGATTCCATAGCTGATGAGTATGTAGCATTCCCCTATGCCATACCTTGTCAAAGGCCTTTGAGATATCTAAGGAGATTGCTTTCAAAAAGTCTATTATCAAATGCTTCACTTATATTATGTATGATGATAGTTAAGATATCAGCAGTGGACCTAGAGAAGTAAAAACCATACTGCTTTTTGCTTAGGAAATCTTAGGTCTCTTCTCTTAATGGTAAGTCTGAATGGGTCAATAAAGTCAAATTGGCAGCTGGTTTAAAAAATGACCCATAATCTGTTGTTAACTAGTGCAAGAAATTGCTTATTAATTTTAAGGCATCCAAACCAAAACTGCTCTTTTTTAATCATCTTTGAGAACCTTTTTTTGCCTTCTATTGGCATGGATGTTGCTAACCTCCAGGAAAGTGACTCGTTACACCTTCTTGGGCTAATATTTTCCACTGACATGGAGTGGAGTGATTATATTGAATTAGTTGCTAGGTTTGCTGCTGGGAAAGTTGGCTCACTGTGTCATGCTAGACAAATTTACTTGCTAGAATTTATCTTACACATTTATAACATTCATCCATGCATTTAATATTGCTGTTATATCTGTTCTGGTGCTTCTGTTATGTATTTAGAGATTCTTAATAAAATACAAAGAAGAATCTGCAATATTATCGGTCCTGTCCTGACCTGACCTTGGGTTCAGTCACTTTCTCACCACCATAACATAACTTCCCTATATCTTGTATTTGTGATTTTCCAGAACACTCAAGATCCAAGTTTTTTAGTTTTCTACTTTGGCTTAGACTGTCTATGCATAGTTGCTCTTTGCCTTTTCCAGGACCCTCTTGCAGTGACTGCACACAGTTCTGAATGAGGCAAGTGTTCTGCTATACAATTCTCTCCAATAGAGATGGTAGTAGTGGTCACAGTGAGTCATAGCTACAGAACATTCAGGCATGAACCATGGTTGAATATTTGGCTTTTGTTAGTGTTTTTTGTGTGGAGTAAAACTTTCTATGCTGGAGAGAATTCATTTGGAAATGAGGGAGGCTGTTCTGAAAGGTCAATTTTTGAAGAAAATTGAAAGTGCTTCTACCATGTAAGATCTGAATCTGTCTCAATCAGCTTTGGTAGAATGTCCTATGAGATGGCACATCTGAAGATGCCTTTGGTTTGGAATCAATTAAGATAGATCAATGAATGGTCTGAGGTGCCCAAGGGAGGTAACACCTCAGTGAAATATTGGTCAGGACAGGAGGAAGAGGTCTAAAAGTTTAGCATGATGGCTAGCTGTATGGAAACACAATCAGGCTTATCCACAATCTGGGTCAGCTTGAAGAGAAGTCATAACAGTATTTCCATTCTTTGTCAGTTGTGTTTGAATGAACTAGCCACTCCTTATGATGTATGTTATCACCACAAATATGGATGATAACCAAAGGATGACCAGAGAGGATGTCATCAATCTTCTCTGTTATTGAGTCTAATATTACAATACCATCATCCTGAGTGTGATAGATAATGAAGAAGAAAGACATGCTATGAATGAGGGCCACCCAAAAGTACATGAATTGGTAGTCAGGGCCATCATTTTGAGACATTGGTATAGTTCCCAAGCCTATGACCATGTTGATTTAAAGGGTGCAAGAGATCACCAACATACTCATAGCAATCAAATTAAATGTTTAAAATCATTTCCACAATTTTGGTGCAAATGATTTAATCACATTGATGAATGGCTTCCATAAAAATTAAGCAAAAAACTCAATAGGACCATATTTAAATATTTTGTTTTCGAAATTATAAAATATTTTTAAGACAACATAAATGCAAAAAATTGTGGATCAAGTGCAGGAATAATAATTAACACTACCAAAGTCTGGTTGTCATCCAAAGATACTGTATATATCATGAGATTGAAAGGGTGTCCTCTACTATAAGCTTTTTCTAGGCAACAAAATAAGTATTACTTTCAATTGGACCAACTAAAAGCAGCATCAATGAAAAGTATCTGTCTGGAATGAGTTAAGAAAAATGGCATCAGGATAATATGTTTCTTTGATGATAAGGCAAAAACAGTTGCACTTTGGCTGGGATATTTTCACTTATCTGCTTTATTCACAAGATATTGCACCTCTGTATTATTATTTACTCTCTAGTTTACAGAATTTCCTTAATGGAAAACATTCTCATTTTTTAGAAAACTGCAAAAGACACCGAGTACAGTTTTTTTGTCAAAAAAGATGAAAAGTTAAGGAGAATGGAATTATGAAGTTGTCTGAAAGATGATTGGTTTGGTTTGTTTTATGGCATATCAACCTCAATGGGTTATTTAATGCCAACAAGATTTTTATTGCTGGTAATATTTATTTTTTTTTTAAATATATTGCTAGTAATAATTTATCTTCAAAAATTCATTGCTGGTAATAATTTTTTGCAAAAAAGTATTGCTGGTATTAAAACCTATTTTCACGCTTTCATAGCATTTTAACCCCAGTTTCCCCAAACTAATTTCCCATAGCTGGGA